CATTCTATAAAGTTAATTGAAACAAATGAAAATAAAAAACATACAAACAATGCTATTTGAATCAAATGAGAGTCAAACACATTCAAACAAAGTTAATTAAATCAAATAATAGTTAAACACATTCAAATAAAGCTGATTGAATCAAATGAAAGTTAAACACATTAAAACAAAGCTATTAGAATCAAATGAAAGTCAAACACATTCAAACAAAGCTAGTTGAATAAAATGAAAGTCAAATACATTCTACAAAGCTAATTGAATCAAATGAAAGTCAAACACATTCAAACAAAGCTATTTGAATAAAATGAAAGTCAAATACATTCTACAAAGCTAATTGAATCAAATGAAAGTCAAACATATTCAAACGAAGCTATTTGAGTCAATTGAGAGTTAAACACATTCTAAAAAAGCTATTTTAATCAAATGAAAGTAAAATACATTCTATAAAGCTAATTGAATCAAATGAAAGTGAAACACATTCAAACAAAGCAATTTAAATCAAATGAAAGTCAAACACATTCAAACAAAGTTATATAAAATCAAATAAAAGTGAAATGCATTCTACAAAGCTAATTTAATCAAATGAAAGTCAAACACATTCAAACAAAGCTAGTTGAATCAAATATGAGTCAAATACATTCACACAAAGCTATTTGAATCAAATGAAAGTCAAATACATTCTAAATAGCTAATTGAATCAAATGAAAGTCAAACACATTCAAACAAAGCGATTTGAATAAAATGAAAGTCAAATACATTCTACAAAGCTAATTGAATCAAATGAAAGTCAAACACATTGAAACAAAGCTATTTGAATAAATTGAGAGTTAAACACATTCAAACAAAGCTATTTGAATCAAATGAAAGTCAAACACATTCAAACAAAGTTATTTAAAATCAAATTCAAGTCAAATTTATTCTACAAAGCTAATTGAATCAAATGAAAGTCAAACACATTCATACAAAGTTATTTAAAGTCAAATACATTCTATAAAGCTAATTGAATCAAATGAAAGTGAAACACATTCAAACAAAGCAATTTAAATCAAATGAAAGTCAAACACATTCAAACAAAGTTATTTAAAATCAAATGAAAGTGAAATGCATTCTACAAAGCTAATTTAATCAAATGAAAGTAAAAAAAATTCAAACAATGCTATTTGAATCAAATGAGAGTCAAACACATTCAAACAAAGTTAATTAAATCAAATAAAAGTCAAATACATTCTATAAAGCTGATTGAATCAAATGAAAGTTAAACACATTAAAACAAAGCTATTTGAATCAAATGAAAGTCAAACACATTCAAACAAAGCTATTTGAATCAATTGAGAGTTAAAGACATTCCAACAAAGCTATTTGAATCAAATGAAAGTCAAATGCATTCTACAAAGCTAATTGAATCAAATAAAAGTCAAACACATTCAAACAAAGCTATTCGAATCAAATGAAAGTCAAATACATTCTACAAAGCTAATTGAATCAAACGAAAGTCAAACACATTCAAACAAAGCTATTTGAATCAAATGAAAGTCAAATACATTCAACAAAGCTAATTGAATCAAATGAAAGTCAAACAAATTCAAACAAAGCTATTTGAATCAAATGAAAGTCAAATACATTCTACAAAGCTAATTTAATCAAATGAAAGTCAAACACATTCAAACAAAGCGATTTGAATAAAATGAAAGTCAAATACATTCTAAAAAGCTAATTGAATCAAGTGATAGTCAAACACATTTAAACAAAGCTATTCGAACCAAATGAGAGTCAAATACATTCTACAAAGCTAATTGAATCAAATGAAATTCAAACACATTCAAACAAAGCTATTTGAATCAAATGAAAGTCAAACACGTTCAAACAAAGCTATTTAAATCAAATGAAAGTGAAATGCATTCTACAAAGCTAATTGAATAAAATAAAATTCAAACACATTCAAATAAAGCTATTTGATCAAATGAAAGTCAAACACGTTTAAACAAAGCTATTTAAATTAAATGAAAGTGAAATGCATTCTACAAATCTATTTAAATCAAATGAAAGTCAAACACTTTCAAACAAATTTATTTGCATCAAATTCAAGTCAAATTTATTCTACAAAGCTAATTGAATCGAATGAAAGTCAAACACATTCAAACAAAGCTATTTGAATCAAATGAAAGTAAAATACATTCTACAAAAGCTAATTGAATCAAATGAAAGTCAAACACATTCAAACAAAGCTATTTGTATCAAATGAAAGTCAAATACATTCTACAAAGCTAATTGAATCAAACGAAAGTCAAAACCATTCAAACAAAGCTATTTGAATCAAATGAAAGTAAAATACATTCTACAATGCTAATTGAATCAAATGAAAATCAAACACATTCAAACAAAGCTATTTGAATAAAATGAAAGTCAAATACATTCTACAAAGCTAATTGAATCAAATGAAAGTCAAACACATTCAAACAAAGCTATTTGAGTCATTTGAGAGTTAAACACATTCAAACAAAGCTATTTGAATCAAATGAAAGTCAAATACATTCTATAAAGCTAATGGAATCAAATGAAAGTGAAACACATTCAAACAAAGCAATTTAAATCAAATGAAAGTCAAACACATTCAAACAAAGTTATTTAAAATCAAATGAAAGTGAAATGCATTCTACAAAGCTAATTTAATCAAATGAAAGTCAAACACATTCAAACAAAGCTAGTTGAATCAAATATCAGTCAAATACATTCACACAAAGCTATTTGAATCAAATGAAAGTCAAATACATTCTAAAAAGCTAATTGAATCAAATGAAAGTAAAAAACATTCAAACAAATCTATTTGAATCAAATGAAAGTCAAATACATTCTACAAAGCTAATTGAATAATATGAAAGTCAAACACATTCAAACAAAGCAATTTAAATCAAATGAAAGTGAAATACATTTTACAATGCTAATTGAATCACATGAAAGTCAAACACATTCAAACAAAGCTATTTGAATCAAATGAAAGTTAAATACATTCTACAAAGCTAATTGAATCAAATGAAAGTCAAACACATTCAAACAAAGCTATTTTAATTAAATGAATGTCAAATACATTCTACAAAGCTAATTGAATCAAATGAAAGTCAAACACATTCAAACAAAGCTTTTTGTATCAAATGAAAGTCAAATACATTCTATAAAGCTAATTGAATCAAACGAAAGTCAAAACCATTCAAACAAAGCTATTTGAATCAAATGAAAGTAAAATACATTCTACAATGCTAATTGAATCAAATGAAAATCAAACAAATTCAAACAAAGCTATTTGAATAAAATGAAAGTCAAATACATTCTACAAAGCTAATTGAATCAAATGAAAGTCAAACACATTCAAACAAAGCTATTTGAGTCATTTGAGAGTTAAACACATTCAAACAAAGCTATTTGAATCAAATGAAAGTCAAATACATTTTATAAAGCTAATGGAATCAAATGAAAGTGAAACACATTCAAACAAAGCAATTTAAATCGAATGAAAGTCAAACACATTCAAACAAAGTCATTTAAAATCAAATGAAATTGAAATGCATTCTACAAAGCTAATTGATGTGAATCAAGAGGGAAATTCTTTTGAAGAGCCAATCATATTGGTTTTAAGGCCATTAGGGTTCGAGCTTGGAGCAAAGAATCAAGAATGGTTAACATGCGCAGCCATTGAAGAAGAAGTCAAGGACCAGTTGGGTTCCGACGACAACAGCGGTGGCGACGCGCCGATCTGGGTGCCACGCGCCGGCTTCCTAGCTCCGGCCTGAGTCCAGCTACACGGTGGTGGGGCGCGTGTCGAGGATGGAGGCGCGTGAGGTGGTAGTTCGGCGGCAGTACAAAAAGAAAGATTTTCTTTACTTAGTTTTTTCTAGAGTTTTGCTTGCAAGTTTTTACCTTTCACTTGAAAGGGTTTTTCTTGGTTTAAGCAATTAGGATAAGTTTATTTTTCTGTCATTTAGTTGCTATAAACTTCATAAGGTGATTAGGAAAGTTTTTAGTTAGTTAGAGTTTGATTAGGAATAAACTACCTAGCAATCTTATCTTTGATAGGATTGAAATTCTATCTTATGTAGGATTATTAGAATCCTATCTAGGTTAGATCTTCTACTTCTAGGAGGACTAGGAGACCTCTTTTGAGGCTTTTAAAAGCTTATTTTCGTGGCTTTGAAGAACACATCAAAACCAGAAAATTTAATACAAGTTTATTGTTTGTTTTGCTTAATTGCTTACAAATTCTTTTGCTAGTTTTCAATTCAAGGAGTTGGTTGAAGATTAGAACATTAAACACTTAGTGTCTAGGAGTAGGCTAAGAGTTTAATCTCAAAATAATTAGCGTCCAGGAGTGGGTTAATTAATTTGGGGATTCGAATCATAAGTTTCAGGAGTGATCTTGTGAGGAGAAATATCGGTTCGTTTTTATTCAATCTTAAAGAAATCCTTCAAGATTGGATCGTTACTTCAAGATTGTGGATTTTCTAAAATCTTGACTAAACAAGGGGTTAGAATCCACATCAAATTGGTATCAGATTTCAGGGGTTTTTGATCGTTCAACACTTCGTTCATCAAATCGCACTTGTTCTCGGATAACCAGTTTTTCTGTCAACTTCAGAAGGCTCGTTCTCCTTCGTTACAAGGTCTTTTCAGGTGATTCTTTTTTTTATTTTGAGTGAAATTTTGTCTACTTTCTGCCTGTGAAATTTCGAAATTTTTCGAGTTCGTTTGCTATTAAACTGGACTGTTTTCCGCAACTGTGTCAGTTTTGGTCCGATTTAATACTTACTGCTCGTTGTGTGCAATTTTGTTCCAAGTTGTGTTGCGATTTTTGTGGGATATACCTGTGTGGATAAGGGTTCTTTTAAGTCTGTTTTTGTCTTATAATTATGGAGGAAGCTTTGAGCAAACTCATGGATGAATTTGCAAGATTGCAAGATAATACGGAGGCACGTTTTAATGCTTTTTCACAACTATTGCTTGATAAAAAGAAAAAGAAGAAAAAACGGCATGATAGTGATAGTGATGCTTCTAGTAGTGATGTTGATACTCATAATCTGAATAAGATTGATGATAAAGGTATCAAGCTTGATGATTTTACGGGTCTAGGAAGCCCCGAAGATTTTCTTGAGTGGGCGAGACAATTAGAGAAAATTTCAGATTATAAAGGTTTTGATGATTCTCAACGTTTCAAAATTGCTTATATACGACTCACTAAGAATGCGGGAATTTGGTTCGATAATTTGAAAGCACGACGTGCTAGGGCTGGGAAAGAAAAAATCAAGACTTGGACGGTTTTGAAAAGGAAGATGCGTTCTAAATACCTTCCACATGATTTCGAACAAATTCTATATGTGAAACTCACTATGTTGACACAAGATACTAAGAGTGTTAATGAATATATTGCTGAATTTGATAAACTAACCTCTCTTTGTGATTTGGATGAAAAAGAACCATTGAGGATTGCTAGGTTCCTTAAAGGTCTAAATCGCACTATCTCTAGGAAGATTGAATTGAGTACGTATGAATCATTCAATGATGTGTGCAAACTAGCTTTAAAAATTGAAAGTCATTGGCTCGAAGATAAGAAGAGCACAAGTACAAAGAGTTTTGGTACCAAGTTCTCACAAGGGACCGAAACAAGCAAAGCTTTCAAGCCTTTTAAACCGAGTTCCTACGAGTCTAAGGGAGAAAGCTCAACAAGTGGAGAAAAGAAATTCGTTAAGATATCTAAAGAAGAGTTCGAAGCCCGAATTAGATGTTTCAAATGTCAAGGAAAGGGACATAGGTCGGATCAATGTCCTTCCAAGAAAACTCTCACAATAAGACAGTACGAACAACAAGTAGAAGAAGAGAAACACATAGTTTTTGAGTGTGACGATGAGGAATCCGAAACTAAGGCAACAGGTAGTGAGGAAGAGAACGAGGAGATTGATCCCGAGGATGATGAAAAGGTGCTTGTGGTAAGGAAGATCCTCCATGCCGAAGCAAACCCTAACAAATCTCAACGGGAAAACTTATTCCATACTCGTTGCAAAGTAGGAGATATATCATGCAAGGTGATCATTGATAGTGGTTCATGTACTAATGTGGCGTCCACAGAAATGGTTTCTAAGCTCAACCTTCCAACAAGAGTACATGAGAATCCTTACAAGTTGAGTTGGCTTGATGATTCTAAGGGACTTCATGTAAAGAAACAAGCCTTAGTAAGCTTTTCCATTGGCAAATACAAAGAAAAGTTATGGTGTGATATTATTCCTATGAGTGCTTGTCACCTTCTTTTAGGGAGACCTTGGCAATTTGATCGTCAAGTTACACATGATGGTGAGGCAAATACTTATTCGGTGAAAGTAGGAAACAAAAGGTTCAAACTCAATCCTCTACCCCCTAATGCAAGCTACGGTCATAACAAAGATAAAGAGAAGCAAGTGCCGAATTTCTTTTTGAATGCTAAGGAACTTGAGAGTGAAGTAGAAAAGGGAGCCACGGTCTTTGCCTTAGTGATAAAAGAGGCGAAATCCACAAGTTCTTCAACAAACGTGCACCTAGAAGAATTGCTAGATGAATTTAAGGATGTGTTCCCAGAGGCACTTCCTAAAGGTCTACCTCCTTTGCGTGGAATAGAGCATGCTATTGATCTTATTCCCGGAGCTCCCCTACCTAATAAACCAGCCTATAGGTGCGACCCTACGGCTTCCCAAGAGCTTCAAAGACAAATAGAGGAATTGATTGAAAGAGGCTATGTTCGTGAAAGCATGAGCCCTTGTGCGGTTCCAGCTTTACTAGTTCCAAAGAAAGATGGTACATGGAGAATGTGTATTGATTCAAGAGCGGTCAACAACATTACTATCAAGTATCGATTCCCTATGCCACGACTAGAAGACATGCTTGATGAGTTACATGGTTCTACCATATTTTCCAAGATCGATCTTAGAAGCGGCTACCATCAAATGCGAATTAGAGAAGGAGATGAGTGGAAGACTGCTTTCAAAACTAAGCAAGGATTATATGAATGGATGGTCATGCCCTTTGGGCTATGCAATGCGCCAAGTTCATTCATGAGACTCATGAACGAGGTACTTCGACCCTTCTTAAATAAGTTCATTGTCGTTTACCTTGATGATATATTAGTCTATAGTCGAGATAATGTTGAACACATTGATCATCTTAGAAGATTATTTGAAACATTAAGAGAACATCAACTATATGGCAAACTTGAAAAGTGCTCATTCATGGTTCCAAGTATTTCTTTTCTTGGCTATATTATTTCGGGTAAGGGTATTGAAGTGGATCCCGAGAAGGTGGCTGCTATGTCGACTTGGGTGGCGCCTAAAAACATTCGTGAAGCACGTAGTTTTCATGGTCTTGCATCGTTCTATAGAAGGTTCATTAGAAACTTTTCTAGTATCATGGCACCTTTCACGGAATTGATGAAGAAAGGGGACTTTGTGTGGACTAATTCGGCGCAACAAGCATTTGAGACAATCAAGGAAAGACTATGCAATACGCCGGTTCTAGCTTTGCCTAACTTTGATAAATTGTTTGAAGTGGAATGTGATGGAAGTGGAGCAGGTATAGGTGCGGTTCTAATTCAAGAGGCACGACCTATCTCTTACTTTAGTGAGAAACTAAGTGGTGCAAAGTTGAACTACTCTAACTATGATCGTGAATTTTATGCTATTGTACGTGCTTTGGATCATTGGTCTCATTACTTAAGACCAAAACCTTTTGTGCTACATTCGGATCATGAGGCTTTGAAGTATATCCATGGACAACAAAAGTTGAATTATAGACACGCCAAGTGGGTTGAGTTCCTACAATCTTTTACGTTTTCTTCAAAGTATAAGGAAGGCAAAGCGAATGTGGTTGCCGATGCACTATCAAGGAGATCTTATTTGCTAGCCATGGTGGATGCTAGGATCATTGGTTTTGATCATATACTTGGGTTGTATGCAACCTGTCCGGATTTGGCAAAAGAGTACAAAGACCCTTCACGCAACTTTGTGCTTCAAGATGGCTTCTTATTTCAAGGTAACAAACTTTGTATTCCTCAATGTGGTGGGCGTGAATTGCTTATTAGAGAGGTGCATAGTGGTGCAATTGCGGGGCACTTTGGTGTTCACAAAACAGTTGATATGCTTAGAGAATATTTCTATTGGCCAAATATGATCAAGGATGTTCAAAGTGTGATTTCAAGATGTGCTACTTGTCAAAAGGCAAAGAGTTCTTTTTCAAAGGGCTTATACACACCTCTTCCAGTTCCAGATTGTCCTTGGGATAGTGTTAGTATGGACTTCATTGTTGGACTACCACGAACTCAAAGAGGGAAGGATGCTATTATGGTTGTAGTTGATAGATTCTCAAAGATGGCTCACTTTGTTCCAATGCACAAGACGGATGATGCGCAACATGTAGCTAATCTATACTTCAAGGAAATTGTTCGACTTCATGGAGTTCCTAGAAGCATAGTTTCGGATAGGGACTCAAAGTTCCTTAGCCACTTTTGGAAGTGTTTGTGGAAGCTACTTGGAACAAAGCTCATGTTTAGTACTTCTCATCATCCTCAAACAGATGGTCAAACTGAGGTAACCAATCGAACCTTAGGTACTTTACTTAGAGGGTTGGTTAGTAAGACTCAAAAGGATTGGGATATGAGACTTTGCCATGCGGAGTTTGCTTATAATCGGTCACCCTCATCAACTACACAACAAGCTCCATTTGAAGTTGTTTATGGCATTAATCCATTCTTGCCTATTGATTTGTTGCCGTTAAACAAAGAGGACATCCATATTGATGCTAAGAAACGGCTTGAAGTTTTTAAGAGGACATGTGAACAAGTTAAAGTAAGAATTGAGAAGATGAATAACTTATACAAAGCAAGGTCTAACAAAAAGCGCAAACAACCTACATTCAAGCCGGGAGATCTTGTTTGGTTACACTTAAGGAAGGAAAGGTTTCCACACAAAAGGAAGAACAAGCTCATGCCTAGAGCTGACGGCCCTTTTGAGGTTTTGGAAGTTTATGGTGATAGTGCTTACAAACTTGATCTACCAAGCGAATATGGTAATGTAAGTGCTACTTTTAATGTTGGTGATTTGACTCCTTACCTAGATGAAGTGAATTTGAGGACAAATTCTTTTGAAGAGGGGGAGAATGATGTGAATCAAGAGGGAAATTCTTTTGAAGAGCCAATCATATTGGTTTTAAGGCCATTAGGGTTCGAGCTTGGAGCAAAGAATCAAGAATGGTTAACATGCGCAGCCATTGAAGAAGAAGTCAAGGACCAGTTGGGTTCCGACGACAACAGCGGTGGCGACGCGCCGATCTGGGTGCCACGCGCCGGCTTCCTAGCTCCGGCCTGAGTCCAGCTACACGGTGGTGGGGCGCGTGTCGAGGATGGAGGCGCGTGAGGTGGTAGTTCGGCGGCAGTACAAAAAGAAAGATTTTCTTTACTTAGTTTTTTCTAGAGTTTTGCTTGCAAGTTTTTACCTTTCACTTGAAAGGGTTTTTCTTGGTTTAAGCAATTAGGATAAGTTTATTTTTCTGTCATTTAGTTGCTATAAACTTCATAAGGTGATTAGGAAAGTTTTTAGTTAGTTAGAGTTTGATTAGGAATAAACTACCTAGCAATCTTATCTTTGATAGGATTGAAATTCTATCTTATGTAGGATTATTAGAATCCTATCTAGGTTAGATCTTCTACTTCTAGGAGGACTAGGAGACCTCTTTTGAGGCTTTTAAAAGCTTATTTTCGTGGCTTTGAAGAACACATCAAAACCAGAAAATTTAATACAAGTTTATTGTTTGTTTTGCTTAATTGCTTACAAATTCTTTTGCTAGTTTTCAATTCAAGGAGTTGGTTGAAGATTAGAACATTAAACACTTAGTGTCTAGGAGTAGGCTAAGAGTTTAATCTCAAAATAATTAGCGTCCAGGAGTGGGTTAATTAATTTGGGGATTCGAATCATAAGTTTCAGGAGTGATCTTGTGAGGAGAAATATCGGTTCGTTTTTATTCAATCTTAAAGAAATCCTTCAAGATTGGATCGTTACTTCAAGATTGTGGATTTTCTAAAATCTTGACTAAACAAGGGGTTAGAATCCACATCACTAATTTAATCAAATGAAAGTCAAACACATTCAAACAAAGCTAGTTGAATCAAATATGAGTCAAATACATTCACACAAAGCTATTTGAATCAAATGAAAGTCAAATACATTCTAAAAAGGTAATTGAATCAAATGAAAGTAAAAAACATTCAAACAAATCTATTTGAATCAAATGAAAGTCAAATACATTCTACAAAGCTAATTGAATCAAATGAAAGTCAAACACATTCAAACAAAGCTATTTGAATTAAATGAAAGTCAAATACATTCTAAAAAGCTAATTGAATCAAATGAAAGTAAAAAACATTCAAACAAAGCTATTTGAATCAAATGAAAGTCAAATACATTCTACAAAGCTAATTGAATAATATGAAAGTCAAACACATTCAAACAAATCTATTTGAATCAAATGAAAGTTAAATACATTCTACAAAGCTAATTGAATCAAATTAAAGTCAAACACATTCAAACAAAGCTATTTGAATCTAATGAAAGTCAAACACGTTCAAACAAAGCTATTTAAATCAAATGAAAGTGAAATGCATTCTACAAAGCTATGGAATTAAATAAAAGTCAAACACATTCAAATAAAGCTATTTGAATCAAATGAAAGTCAAACACATTGAAACAAAGCAATTTACATCAAATGAAAGTCAAACACATTCAAATAAAGCTATTTGATCAAATGAAAGTCAAACACATTCAAACAAAGCAATTTAAATCAAATGGAAGTGAAATGCATTCTACAAAGCTAATTGAATCACATAAAAGTCAAACTCATTCAAACAAAGCTATTTGAATCAAATCTAAGTCAAATACATTCTACAAAGCTAATTGAAACAGATGAAAGTCAAACACATTCAAACAACCCTATTTGAATCAAATGAAAGTCAAATACATTCTACAAAGCTAATTGAATCAAATGAAAGTGAAACACATTCAAACAAAGCTATTTGAATCAAATGAAAGTCAAACACGTTTAAACAAAGCTATTTAAATGAAATGAAAGTGAAATGCATTCTACAAAGCTAATTGAATCAGATGAAAGTCAAACACATTCAAACAAATTTATTTGCATCAAATTCAAGTCAAATTTATTCTACAAAGCTAATTGAATCTAATGAAAGTCAAACACATTCAAACAAAGCTATTTGAATCAAATGAAAGTAAAATACATTCTACAAAGCTAATTGAATAAAATGAAAGTCAAACACATTCAAACAAAGCTATTTGTATCAAATGAAAGTCAAATACATTCTACAAAGCTAATTGAATCAAATGAAAGTCAAACACATTCAAACAAAGCTATTTGAATCAAATGAAAGTCAAATACATTCTACAATGCTAATTGAATCAAATGAAAGTCAAACACATTCAAACAAAGCTATTTGAATAAAATGAAAGTCAAATACATTCTACAAAGCTAATTGAATCAAATGAAAGTCAAACACATTCAAACAAAGCTATTTGAGTCAATTGAGAGTTAAACACATTCAAACAAAGCTATTTGAATCAAATAAAAGTCAAATACATTCTATAAAGCTAATTGAATCAAATGAAAGTGAAACACATTCAAACAAAGCAATTTAAATCAAATGAAAGTCAAACACATTCAAACAAAGTTATTTAAAATCAAATGAAAGTTAAATGCATTCTACAAAGCTAATTTAATCTAATGAAAGTCAAACACATTCAAACAAAGCTAGTTGAATCAAATATGAGTCAAATACATTCACACAAAGCTATTTAAATCAAATGAAAGTCAAATACATTTTACAAAGCTAATTGAATCAAATGAAAGTCAAATACATTCAAACAAAGCTATTTGAATTAAATGAAAGTCAAACACATTCAAACAAAGTTATTTAAATCAAATGAAAGTGAAATGCATTCTATAAAGTTAATTGAATCAAATGAAAGTAAAAAACATTCAAACAATGCTATTTGAATCAAATGAGAGTCAAACACATTCAAAAAAAGTTAATTAAATCAAATAAAAGTCAAATACATTCTATAAAGCTGATTGAATCAAATGAAAGTTAAACACATTTAAACAAAGCTATTTGAATCAATTGAAAGTCA